TGAAGGTCTGGAACTGAACCCACAATATCTCTGAAATATGCCTGTACTCTCTCCACCTCCTTAATTACATCTGCAAAGTCTCCTTTGCTATGTGAAGTAACATAATCACAGGCTTTGGGGGGAGGGACATTATGCTGCCTACCCTACCTAGTCTCTCTCTGGATACAGAAATTTCATTATGAAGTCACACCCAATATAAAAATAAATGTAAAGAGAAATCTTAATGTTGGGAGGGAACTAAAATAAGGAGGGTTAGTGAAAAACTACCCTATCCCTATTCAAGTAAAAGACTAGAGGTGTATCCTCTCCACACAGTAAGAGGATCTTTGGAACACAGGCAGAGCTGAGGGACAGAAGTTGAGTTAAAAACAGGATTGGGTGACTAAAAGCTGAGACCCATTTCCCCACCCCACCTCCTCCCACTAGGCTCCCAGGAAGGATCTCAGTAGACTCCTCTCTGGGGAAGCAGATCAGCTTAAGAGAAAAACACCTCAGCCAGATACCCCTTTCGTGAACTCAATACGCCAGCTCTTGTGTGCTCAACTTCCAATCAGCTTTTTTATCTTTCACTCTGAAAAAAAACCCCACCAATCTAAAGCAAGCCACTTAACACGACAGGGATCAAAATAAAAAAAGAAGAAAAAAATTAGAAAAGAATGTAAATCATACTCTGAGAAATAAGAAATTATATCCATAAAAAACAGAATGCTAAAAAAAAAGGAAACATTCAGATGACAAGAGCCTAGACAAGTTAAAAAGACAAGTGAAAAAAACTCAATAGAAAGGTTGAAAGATAAAGCTGAGGAATTCTAGGAAATAGAACATAAAGGCAAAGAAATGAAAATGAGAAAAAGAAAATGAGGACTAGTCCATCATGTCCAATATTTAAATCAGAGGAGTCCAAAAAGATCAGAAAGGGAAGGAAAATCATCAATGAAATTTTCAAGAAAATTTCCCAGAACTTGAGAACACAAGGTTCCCGATTGAAAGGGCCCATTTAGTACCCAGCTCGATGGGCAAAAAAACCCACCCCAAAGGAAGCACACTTTCCGAATTACAAGAGACCAATAACTAGAATGGTTTAGATTTCCCTTCAACTATAACAGAAGTCAGATCATGAAATAATGCCCTTGAACTTCTGAAATAAGATGATTTCCAAGGCTAATTCTATACCCAGCCCAACAGTGGGAGGGTAGAATGACACTTTCAGACATGCATTTTCCCCAGGAAGATCTAAGGTGAGTTAGACAATACAAGCAACCTAAGAAAGAAGAATACACAGGATGCACTAATACAGGAAATCCCAAACAGCAAAGCAACAGAGTCACACTCCGGTGATGGTGAAGGGAACCCAGAGTGAAGCTGTGCACTAGGCCTTGGGTGACCAGTAGAGTAGAGCCAGGTAAAAGGCTCCAGAAGAGATTTCTTTACAAAGATGAAATTAAGCCCAAGCCATTTTGGTTCAGTGGACAGAGTTTCCACCTGTGGACTGAAGTGTCCCGGGTTCAATTCTGGTCAAGGGCACATGCCCAAGTTGTGGGCTCAATCCCCAGTAGGTTGCGTGCAGGAGGCGGACAATCAATGATTCTCATCATTGATGTTTCAATCTCTCTCCGCCTCTCCCTTCCTCTCTCTGAAATCAATAAAAATATATTTTAAAAATAAATGATAAAAAAATGAAAATAATAAACTACTGATTTGAACAAACTTTCTGAAATGAATAAACTAGCTGTTTTGAACGAACTTTTTGAAAGGACATTTTGACACTGATAATTTGTGGTTGTGATATTCAGAAAATCAAGCAAATAATAAAAATAATAGCTCCAAGAAAAACATAAGCCCAGAAAACAAAAATACCCATTGCATACGTGTTTCTTAAACATAATGTGTGCTAGGTATATAAACATATAGTAGCTTAGCGTATGTGTGTGGGGGGATAGTGATAAAAGCTAGGCACTAGCTTTCTATATCTAAATTTCCATATTTCTATATAGTAAATTAAGAAATAAAAGTCATTTTTAAAAAACCAAAATATTAAATGTGCACAAGAATTACTTGGGGATCTTATTAAAATGTATTTGAATTCCAGGCTGGAGCCAGAGTCCACATTTTCACAAGCTCCCAGGGGAGGCCAGTGTTGCTGATACACGGCTCAGCTACAAATGGAATATATGATAATAATGTAAGCCATGAATAGTGACTAAAATTATGAAATATATTGGTCATTGATAGGAGGGAAGATAGGAAGCAGACATGCATGTGGTGGGGGTAAAGGAAGAAAAATCTAAATCCTCCTAAGATGGAAGTTAATATCTAAAATTGAAACTATTAAAACTAGCTGGCTCTTTAAATTAATTACAGGTATAATATTGGTAACAATAAAGTCTTTAAAAGTAAGCAAAGGATGTGAACATAATTCATTGAAATAAATATTTGGTATTTCAACACATGAATAAATGCACAATCTTGCTCATTAGAGAAGATTCCATTTTTCACTTGATTGGCAAAGAAAAGTTCAATTATGCATTCATTGCAATAAGAAAGAGCAATACAATGTTACAGCAATAGTTCTGAGACCTTTCTGACAATACTTCTTGCCAAAACAATTTTAAATTCATCTTTTAAAATATATATATAATTTTTTTAATATATTTTGGCCCTAACTGGTTTGGCTCAGTGGATAAAGCGTCAGCCTGCAGACTCAAGGGTCCCAGGTTCGATTCCAGTCAAGGGCATGTACCTTGGTTGCAGGCACATCCCCAGTGGGGGGTGTGCAGGAGGCAGCTGAAGATAGTAACATCAATGAGAATCTTTGATTGGCTGCCTCCTGCACGCTCCCCACTGGGGATGGAGCCCACAACCTGGGCATGTGCCCTTGACTGGAATCAAACCTGGGACCCTTCAGTCCACAGGCCGACACTCTAACCACTGAGAAAAACCGGCTAGGGCTCCAGTCATCTTTCTGTGACAAATCTTTTGTTAACTGCCCCGATATCCATTCTCAACTACTTTCTTCTTGGCTATCTCTATTAGACTGAAAAAAAACCATATATCCACTTTCCCAGCCTGCCTTGCAGCTGGATGGACATGTGCCACAGGTCTCAACCATGAGAATACATACCTAAGTTATATAGTATAGTCTATTGTTCCTAGGCTACAAACCTGTACAGTATGTTATTGTACTGAACACTGTAGGTGAGCGTAACACAATGGTGAAATATTTGTTTAAGTAAGCACACCTAAACATATAAAAAGGCATAGTAAAAGTATGGTATAAATGCCAAAACCGGTTTGGCTCAGTGGATAGAGCGTCAGCCTACGGACTGAAAGGTCCCAGGTTCGATCCCGGTCAAGGGCATGTACATTGTTTGCGGGCACATCCCCAGTAGATGTGCAAGAGGTAGCTGATCGATGTTTCTCTCTCATCGATGTTTCTAACTCTCTATCTCTCTCCCTTCCTCTCTGTAAAAAAAAATCAATAAAATATATTAAAAAAAAAAAGTATGGTATAAAAATATGGTATAAAAGGGTACACCTGTATAAGGCACTTACCATGAATGGAGCTTGTAGGACTGAAAGTTGCCCTGGTGAGCCATAAGTGTGAGTGAATATGAAGGCCTAGGACAGGACTATATACTACTGCAGGTTTTAAAAACACTGTGCCCTTAGGCTACACTAAATGTATAAAACAACATGAGATGAACAAAATTAGGTATAAGACAAATGATGTAATCAAGAGAAACAGTAAGCACATGATGTGAGGCTGCTGATGGTATAACATGGCAAATGGTTTTATAGCGAACTTTTTCTATAAGTAGAAAGAGTACATTCTAAAATAGTAATAAAGTTTGGTATAGTAAATACATAAACCAGTAACAGTCATTTGTTATCAAGTATTATGTACTGTATATAATTGTATGTGCAATACTTTTATGTGACTGGCAGTGCAAGTTTGTTTACATCATCATCAACATAAACACAAGCAATGCATGCTGTGCTCCGAATTTACAATGGCTACGATGTTACTAGGGGATAGGAATTTTTTAGCTTCTTTATAATCTTACGGGATCACAGTTGTATATGTGGCCATCACTGACTGAAACTGATACGCAGCGCATGACCAACAGCCCTACCAGAAGCATAGGGAGTCAGAGAAGGCAGTTGCCCAAGACTCTCAGTGGACAAAAACATATGGCTAGATAGGGATTCTCTTCAATTTTACAAAAAATTCCCACTTTCAGAAACCGCTTTGCAATAAAGGTAGAATCAGCAATCCAATTTAATTTATTGAAAAAGTTGTCATCGATGTTTCTGGCTCTCTCTCTCTCCCTTCCTCTCTGTAAAAAATCAATAAAATATGTTTAAAAAAAAAAAAAAAGAATATGATCTAGCCCTAGCTGGGTGGCTCAGTTGGTTGGAGCATCATCCCATACACCAAAAGGTTGTGTGATTGATTCCTAGGTTGTGGGTTAGATCCCCAACCGGGGTGCATGCAGGAGGTGGCAGAACGATGTTTGTCACATCAATATCTCTCT